AACATGGGGAGATCCCATAAATGATAAAGGTTGGGGAAGAAGGGACATGGATGATCTGATAGGAAGCTTTGGAATGAAGTTGATGGAGTAAGCAAATAATAATGGAACACTTTCCCACACAACATTGGAAACCCTACTTTTCTCAACTTTGGCCTCCCAACCAAACGCACTTCACCTAACTATGCCTCCATTTTTGCCCCCTCTCTATCACAGAGGAACTGAAGCAGCTGAAAGCCTACGTTATGACAGCTATCCAACCCGGGCTTGACAGCTCAGCTAGGGACGGACACGTGGATGCCTCCCCACCAATGAGACTGACGAGCTGCATGCATGCTGCCAGGCAGATATATAACTGTGCTGTAAGCTTTGTTGGAGAATTGAAAAGGGCATATATCTATGAAGAAGAAAGATAGAAAGAAAGAAACATGTGGGAGTAGTTTGTGTTTGAGGCTTGGACTACATTGAAGTGACTTCTCATGTTAATTCACAATGTGTGTGTATTATTCAACAATCCACATGCACTTGTCTACCTTTGTCAGCTGCCAAATTAGAAACGAACAGCTAACTTCTTCAATTAATGTTTTCCACCCTTCATTTTTAATCTCAAGAAGTTAAATGCTAGCAATGGAATATGAACTTGTTATGATATGAAACCATATTATTTATTAACTAAACATGTTTCTTTTAATGGTATAATCTTGTTACTTAACAAGTTACACCTCAGGAATTTTTAACATTTCATTTTGATTAATGGATTAAAATCACAAATCTCAATGTTCATATTTGGAAGTTGAGACCGTCGTATTCAATATATGATGCGCGCGCGCACACACATCGATCAATAATCTTTATGCTTTAGTAAGAGAGAACTTTCCCCCCTTTCTTTTTCTGTACTTATTGATGTTTATCTCCAATCAGATGCAAAGTGTTCGCAAATCATGCATATCTTTAGCTCAATATTCAAGCACATTCTTGTCTCCAGAAACCCTAATTTTTTTTATTAATAAAGTCACATACAAAAGCACATGTTTCTCAACTTTATAACTGGTCCTTTAATAAGTTCTCTATAAAAGTTTTGCTTTCTAGGATTAGTACTATTTCCCCTTAACTATTAATGACCATTAAAACTCAGCTTTTAATCAGTGCTTAATGTCAATTAAACAAACAATGTCCCACCACAACTTACTCAAAGCGGAAAAATCCAAAACTGTAAAGAACCTCTCTACAAAATCTAGGCAAGAAGCCCATATGTTGAAGAAAAGACTAGTTACCTTCAGGTGGGCCCAAGACAAACATGGGCCCCACCCACTCTCATGTGTAGGCTCGAACACAAACTCATGAGGCCCATAAAGAGGCCCTATTAGGAATCAAAGCCCAGAAAGGAGCCGAGAGGTATTCCAGTGTGGTCAACCATTCAAAAAGCGTTTTATTGCCATCATAAAAAGAAGAGAAAGTAAAGCGACGAGCCGAAAAAAGAGAGAGAGCCGGTTGGTGGGTTCACGTGAGCCGTGGGGCCCAGTTGGTAGAGCACGAGCCACCCTGACCGTATGGGCCCCACACTACTCTGACCACACTGTACGGTGTTGCTTCACAGCCACTGGGTCACGCAAAGTGGTGATTCGCACGTGCGAGATGCTCCTTTTGCAATATCTGAGCCTGATGACTTCTTTGACGGGTTGACCACGTTGGAACGAGATGGACGGGTTAGATTTCTTTACATGAAAGATCATGACCGTTAAATTAGAGACAATGCCGAGGGCCACACTGTTGGGTTAGGATCTGAAAAGGCCGACACGAGGAGAGAGAGGAGGGGGATGCAGCGTGAACAGAGTTTTTTTTTTCCCCCTTTTTTAAAGAAATTTTAAAGCTGTTATTGTTTTTGTTTTTGTGGTGTTTTTAGTATCTTTTGTCCTCAGGAAATGCCGACCGGTTCCTCGTGCCACGTTGGCGGATAGGACGAATGAGTGTGGATTCGACACGTGTCAACATGACACGGGATTACAGGTACAGACACCTAAACAGCAAGCACGTGCTTTCTTTTTCTTTTCTTTTTTTAAAAAATCATCTAATTTTGTGAAGATATAAATAATGACAAGATAGATAGATTGACGACTTGTGAAAATAGTGGTAGTTGATCACATTATAAAATATTTATGATAAGATAGATAGAGTGATGACGTGGGAACATTGTCGCAATTAACTCGGTTTTGTTGTCTCTTGCATCAAAATATCAAAATTCAAAGTATAACATTTAAGAAGGGTTTAAATAAAAACTAAATTATAATTTTAAAAATAATTTTATGATTTATAAAATAAATATGTGAATAAAATTTTATGTCAATTCTCGTAAAAACACTCTTAAAAAATATTTTTGTAAGCCACCAAAGACCTCATTAGTTCATTTGGCTTACGTTTACGTAGGTTAAACTGCGGTGCAGCAAGAGCTGAGAGAGGAAGTGGAGCCCATCAACGTTATTAGCGCGCCCAGTGGGGCCCAATCCTCCCGGGACCCCAAGTTGGAATGGGACCCCCTTACGAGCCCTCACCACGCCCAAAATCCAAGGTAGTATATTTCCCTTGTACAGTTATGTTCTTGTCATTCTTCTTTTCTTTTCTTTTCTTTTGGGATGTAAAACGAAAATCACCTCAAGACGATGGTTATTACTTGCTTGGTTGAATAGCACTTAGCATATTTTAAACTGAGAAAATCTTATTTAGTCTTACTATTATATAAACATTTTAAATATAAGATCTCAATTTATTTTATTTTTTAAAATATTTTTATTGATTATAAAGTATTTTTAACCAAAGCATAATTTCAATATATATGATTGAATAAGAGAAACTTAAAGATGTCAGCACACATTTGTTATAAATAACTAACTTAATTAATTTTTTCAATCTACTCAAATTAATCATCTAGCTCTTATATTAAGAAACTTTCTTTAATATAAGAGCTAGATGATTACTTTGAGTAGATTGAAAAAATTAATTAAGTTAATTATTTATAATAAATAAGTGTTGTCTTTTTTAAAATAGTTTAGTAATCATGTGTATTAGCTAGACCTACCATGTGATAATACTTTTAACACGTGCAACTACTATAAAAATTATCTTAAAAAATATATAAACATAGGAAACCAAGTGGATAGGAGTCTTATTTTAGAATCAAATTAAAAGTCAAACTAACTTTTACATTAAAGTTTGAAGGTATTACCTCCAGTCCTTAATATAAGACCTTGTTTGACTTTTATTTTAGTCCTAAATGTAAGACCTCAGTTTACTTTGTCTCTCGTATTTATATATTTTTTTCAAAAGTAGTCTTTCTAATAATAGTAGTTCTAACCAATACACTTGATTAGCAAGGATATTTTAGAAAAGATAACACCTATTTAGGACAAATAACTAACTCAATTTACTTTCTTAATCTTCTCAAATTAATTAACTAGCTCTTATAATTAGGAGCGGAGGTAGTAGAACTTTTTAAAACATGCCAAGGCTTCAAATATAATCCATAAAATTCAGATAAAATAAATAAGGGCATGAGGGGCTTTTTATTTAAGGGGAAGCTAAAATGAAACACGAGTGTAATAATACCTCCAATCCTTAATATATAATTAGTTAACTAATTTGAATAGATTAAAAAAATTAATTAAGTTAGTTATTTACAGTAAATAGATGTTGTCTTTTTTAAAATATTTTTACTAATCAAGTGTATTAATTAGAACTACCATTATTAGAAATATTATCTTAAAAAATAAATAAATATGAGAGATAAAACAGATTAGAATCTTATATTTAGAATCAAAATAAAAATTAAATGAACTCTTATATGAAAAGTCTAAGCTGATATTTAAGTGATGACCGTGATTGCCAAATCAGCCACAAAGTGCTGATTAAAAGTTTGCCCAGTTTTTACTAGACATTCACTTTTAAATTATTGATTAATATATAAAAAAAGCATCTTTTTTTTTTAATTTCCTTTTTTTCCCCAAGTGGAAGCATTTTTCCGGGCCATCTCTTGTTCCCCTCCTCCATGCAAATTTCAATGATTCAGAAATTGATTGGACATGCAAAATGTTATTTTCCATTAATCCAAAAGCAAAATATTAGGCCCCTCTTATCTCAATATTACACATCAACTGCAAAAATTAAAAAAAAAATACTTTCCTTAACCAATTTTAAAGCGACCCGCATTATAATTTTAGTATGTTTCAATTAAATTATATTAGTACAAAATACCTCCAAATGCGATAATCAAACAAGTTTTTTTTTTAAATGCATCACATAAATTTTAAAATTTTAAGTTACATCACTCATAACTTTTACATGATATACTTTGCTAACAATTTCATTTTGCACATATTGATATGTTGATTTTCGTTTAACAGGTTTAGCATAGATAATTAATCAAACAGTATTTTAAGTAACATAATGAAACACCATCGTCAATATCTAGAACGTTGTGGCTTATTTCTTAAATTTAACGTCATCCAAACCTAAATTGTGTGTGTGTGTGTGTGTTTTTTTTTTTTTTGGGGTTTTCTTATAAAAACGTAGCCAATCCACGACCGGCGTATTATTTATTTTATGTTTTGTCGGAGAATTAAGAGAGGCACTGGATTCTTAGATTGCACATAAAATTAAAAAATTAAAATATAGTTTCTTCAAAAAAAAAAATTCTAACAATAAGAAAGGCTCGGTAAGATGTTTTTCATGATACTGTTCTTTTTTCTAACACTCATATTCTTAAAACACCGATAATCAAAATAAAGGAAAGTTTAGAAATGACGCAAGTAAAAGGTCAAAAGTTAACAGTCAAAGAGTTTTCTGCGCTAGTGAGGTAAGGCCAAGCCCAAGAATTCATCCAAATTCCAAAGCTTCATCCATTTTACCCCCTTCGGCTGATCTCACGCTAGCGCCCATGCTCCTATCTCTCTCTCCCCCCCAAAAAAAGGGCCCTTAATTTTCAAGTTTAAGTACTCCAAAGAGCTTCGGTAATGGCGTAAAGCCTTAACCCCTGCAACACTCCACTCCTGCTCTCCTAGTACCACTGCACCAGTCTAAACACTGTCTTCTCTCCGCACCTTCCCTGCTAATTTTTCCACTCTACGCTACTACTATGGTCAAAAGCTGCTAACTTTAGCCGCAACAATGGTGGTCGAGGACCATAGCTATGTTGGCTGGCCGCCCATTGAGGCTCCTCTCACAGTTCCCAGAGACGAACATTGGAGCAGCTTCGACAGTTCTGTCAATGCCGTGTCGTTTGGCTTTGTAGCCACCGCCATTCTCATTTCTATGTTCTTGATTATGGCTATCTTCGAGAGATTCCTCAGACCCGCCTCGCCGGCGTCGCCGTCTCTTCCTGGTAGCCGGAGCAGAGGGGACATTGAGTCACAGCCGATGGGGAAGCTCGGTTTCCCATCCCCTAAAGTGAGTGAATCGTTTTAGATTTTGAGTTTTTAGCTTGCTAAAGCTTTTTCCTTTTTAGTTAGTCCTTTCTTTTTCAGTTTAGGTTCTCCTGAACTTAACTGGGAAATGCGAGATGGTCTTTCTTCCCTATGGAAATTCTGCATGCTTTGTTTAGCTTGAAATGATAATTTGGGTGGTTACTTTCGTTTCTGAGGAAGTGATAACTATCTCTGACAAAAGGTCTTTTTGCTTTTATTTTTTTTAAATGTTTATGGGATGCTTGCTTGTTCTTGAAATCTTCAGGTGTTTAAATGCCGCTATCATGAATTGCTTCAGTTATCTGCTCCCAATTTATTAGATATTGGATCTGTAAAGAAAATTATGTTACTTGCTCTGTTCCTCTTCCCAATGTATTTTCTCTGAGGTTCATGTCTCATTCAATTCTGTTCTTCGATTTATATCTCCATCTTCTCGGTTTTCTCTTTTCCTGTTTCATTTGCTCTCATTCTGCTCAAACACAAAATGGCATTCCTCTGTACATGTGGATCCCCTCTTCAATTGGCCAAACTTCGGTACGCGTGTGTCTGTATATAATTTTTATTTATTGATCTATTGATTGATGATGATTGATTTGGTTTACGAAAGGTACAACCTTCCCGACCAAATACCATACTCGCTTAATTATTAAAAAAGGAGGTGAACAATGTTAAATCCGAATGGCGTCTGAAAACCTCAGAATTTTCCTTTTTGTGATTTTTTTATGGAAATTGAATCTGAGATAGAGTTCTACCCCAACCCCACCAAATTTTTTTAACTTCATTCTCATCTTCATTTACACGTTCTGCCAAAATCTTTCATTATGAGCAAACTGTGCTGTCTTCAGTCATCAGATGATGGTCCTTCCTTGGAGTTTTCTAATGAATGATTGGTCTCTACCTCTCATCTCTAGCCATCAGTCTTAGGTCTTTTATATGAACATCTTTGCATCGAGTCCCACCATTGTCCTCATTGTCCCTCCCTCCCGTCACTTCCAGTCTTTAATGATATCGTGCATGGCCTGTGTCTGTGGTCGGAGACAGATGGTCAACCTTTCAAGCCATGTCTTGTTTTAGTTTCTTCTTATCTTACAAACATTAATTGTCTACCTCTACCATGCTAGTTGCTAATAGATAAAGTGTGAATGACATTTTAATATTCAAAATTTTAATGCAGTATCCTATGATGAGCCACTGCTCTCCAACCAATTGTGGTGTCTACCTCATGCCAGTCTTTTATGGGGACATAGTAGGCCCACTTACTTATTCAACCTCAGTGTTTAATAAGAGGATTGATCCATAGCCTATAGCATTCATGATTCTCTGGTATTGGTCTTGAATGAAAAAGTTCTTTAATTCCATGAGGAAGGAATTTCATAGTTTAATTTTTTGGCATTTAGATTACATTAAGTATCTTTTTATGGTGTTAATGGAATACAGAATATATTATTTGGGGAAAAGCTTATTTTACTTGGGATTCTGAAAGGGGTTCCTTTATTGTTTATGGTTGTGGTGCTACTCAGAGAAACCATGGTGGACAAAATTTTCTGTTAGCAGAATTAATGTAACATCAAAGACAGTCGCATTTTACTGAGAGGGAATGCCTGAAGGCTAGTGACATAGAAATTAATATTTTAATACTTCGCTATCCATGGGAAATGATTTCAGAACAGCTTCAAATCAGGGTGTTTCAGGTCACTAGTTATCAAAGGGAAAGTGTATTTATTAGAAAGCAAGTGAAGGGGATTTTAAGTGTACACCAAGGGAAGGATCTAAATTAAACTATACTACTCCATCCGGTCCTTTTTTTAAGAGCCTGAAATTTGAATTGTCTGGTCCTTTTTGTAAGATTTCACTTGTGGTTGTCTCCCATTTTTGCCCCTAATTACATATTGCATTAATTAAAAGGTTGGCAAGTTGCTATGTTACATTCTCTTTCATATTCTCTCTCTCTTACTTGCCCCTTGTAAATAAGGGTATGCTTGGAAAGGACCGGAGGGAGATCTGTAAATAAGGGTAAATAAGGGGAGATTTGTAAAAAGGACCGGAGGGAGTACTTTTTTCTTCCCTTGGTCACTCTTGGCTAAACACTTGGTGAATGGCGAAATGTTTCAGGGGCAAGTCAATATCTGGTATGACAGTTTCACAAATTGGAAGCTCTCTACATTTCTCATTGGCAAATTTAATCTTATTCTGATCTGAGCAAAGTGAACCGGGAGAATATTCTGTGGATCTTGTAAACCTACGTGTGTCAGGCCTTTCGTTTTGTTGTTAATTGTGTTACGATGGGACAAATTCATTTGTTCGGTTCGTCTTAAAATCAATAATCTCCTGACATTACTTACAAGGTATGCTTCATCAACTCATTTAGTTTCCTTTTATGTTGCAGATGAGTGTATATTCCAGTGGGGTTTCAGTTCTGATGCCTGGAGATGAGATTCCTAGATTCATCGCCCACCCGGCTCCAATGCCATGTTGCCCTGAACGAGTCCTGTGGCCTTCCCACGATCATAATAAACCGTCATCTTGTTCCCCTTCCAACCCCATCTCTAGTATTAACCAAGTATGAACCGGAGAAACAAGAATTGATGAAGCGTCTCTGAAGACAAAGAAACAAGAATCGGGACTGTTCTTGAGGTTTTAATTATATTTTCACTCGGAGCAGTGCCTCTTCATAGCATGTAAATAGCACTTGGAGTAGGGAAAACTGGGTTTGACAATGAGGCTATCAAGTTGAAAGATCAAATTATGTCTCATTCTTGGAGTAGGGAAAACTGGGTTTGACAATGAGGCTATCAAGTTGAAAGATCAAATTATGTCTCATTCTTGTTCATGATCATGGAATTGAAAAATGAGATTTAAGTGGTTTATCCATAATGTAATTCTTGCCTGTCAAAATTGTAAGCCTTGTAAAAACGAATCAATTTGTGGCCTTCTAACTTCTACTCTGGGAGGTGTGAACTCGTTTCTGGATTGAAGTTCATCACAAAAGACCATCGGTCTAGTCTTTTCTTTGCTTGCATATTCATTCACACGCCACCATCTTTCATTTGACCATATACCGCCCTTTGTTAATTTCTCTTGTCAGTCTCGATCAAGAATCCTACAGTTCCATTACCAAATGCTGAATGTAGATGATCTACGAGCCTCAATGCCCAACTTTCTCCAGATTTTGACTCTGGGCGTGTGGGATTTTGACTTGAGGATCAGCAGTGGCCTATAAGGAAGCAAACGTGGGCTCAGCCAAGGTGATAACGCTAGACTTTAATGGTGACCGGTAAGGATGGGCCGCCGATGCAAATCTAGACATGAATCGGACTTAAATCTAAGAAGCAAGAGGCTAGCCCCAAAAAACAAAAAAAATCTAAACAGCAGGAGTGATTATGGCTTGTGAGATAATTTCTGATTTTTTTTTTTTCATCAGCCGAATCCATACAAGGTCGCTCTACCTCATTTGTATTGTATTGTTTATGTCCCTCAGTGTAGTAGGCTCCCACCTTTCAAATTATCAACTTTTTTTTATCAGCATGCACTATTGATCCTGAGCTTAGAAGAGTGGAAATTCTCAACTGATACAAAGAAGTATCGTTTAATATTGTTCCTAAATTGCTATTTTCAGAACAGTCCAATGGGAGCAAACGTTTCTGTTCAAATAAAAGTACATTTAAGTATAGGCCCTTTACTAGTACTAGCAAAAGCAACACAAAGTGCTTCTTCCACTGACATTTTATTAGTCAAAATTCCAAATCCCTATGGAAAAAATTTCAATTGTAGCCGGAACCTGTGATACGTTTTGAATTTCAGTGTGGTAGTGGAAGATGTTGAGGAATCGCAGAGCTTTTAAATAACGCCAAAACAACCTGTATATATGTAGTGTCCACAAAAAGATCTCATATGAGGTTTTATCTTCCCTGGGTTGAATTTTGAACTCTTAAGCTTTGAGCCATGGGACATTCTTTCTCTCTCTCTCTTTACGACCTGTGAAACAATCCAAAATAACATATATGGTATTAACACCATGGATAGAAGCCTACAAGGAGAAAAGGACCATCAATGGTATTATTATAAAATTAGTGGACCACTATCTGTGATCTCTTTCCCCACTCAAGTAACGGCTACGTTGTGAATTTTCCCTCCATCTCTCAACCAAATCAAGTACATGCAGACATAAGCTACCGTAATATTGAGTTTTCCTTCCATATTTGCTGAAAATAACAATAAATTTGGTTCAATAACTTGAAGCGACATCACAAGTGGAGTTAATAGGGGGTGAAAATTCTCTCCTAACTGACAGTTCAAATAGTCTGTCATAAGATATATTTGTGTATCACACACGGGTGAAGCCACAAATGGGTAAATAATTGAATTTAATGTTTCTACCTTTAAAATCATTCAACAACGCATGAAGGAGACTTTTAACCTCACAAATTTACCCTGTCCACTCTCTCATCATCAGAGCACGAATTTTCCTCCGCATAAAGAACTTCACTACAGTTACTCCATTATCTTATTCTTCTTCCTACTGAACTAATAATTGCAACGATTCAATAGCATTTCATTGGTCCCTGAAAGACGAGTTTCTTGGTACACAGAGAATCCTATATGGCAGAAACGAAATCTTCCCTAACCTGGCAAGCGCTGCATTAGAAGGAATCTTGTTGCAGGAGAGAAAACAGAGCAATGATATGGTAAAATAATAATAACAGGTCAATTCTTTTTGGCTTAACTACAATCAGTTACGTATTCCAATATCCAAAAGTTCATATCAGGACAAATCGTTGAGATACTCGTTTCGTTGTTTTGGGCTTGAGGCCTTGCCCTAGCCTTACCCCCTCTTCTATGTCCTACCACATGACCTTTGACTTAGAAATATTTACACCCTCCTAGTGCATTAACTGCAAAATATTTCAGTACAGAAATTATTATTCGGTATACGACATGTCGTTCAGACTCTGCTCACCAACTCTCCGGCTGGCAATGGCGAGCCACAACCTGCATTATCGCAAACTCGCAATGGGGTGATTTTTCAGAGAAATATGAAGCATTCCAGTGACACAAGAGGGTTTTCCAGTGATTCGTTCGCCGACGCAGACGGCCATTTGCCTTCTGTTCCGGAATGTTCCTTTCTCCGGCCGCCATTCTCTGGTGTGGGGGTTCTGGCTCGTGCAGGGGACTGATTTGGTCTTCTCTTCGATGGGCTCCGACCCACGATGGATCTAGTGGCTCCGTTGTCTGTACGCATGGCAGGTGACCTCGATCTCCGAGAGGAGTTCTCGCCTGCGTCCCGCCAGCGAGGCTCGCCCCTCATTCCTCTGTTGCCCATTGTTTGACTCCGAACTAGTTGGTCTCTGCTTGGAGTTTGCCTCGCCGACCCGATATTCCTCCGACCCGGGGATTGCTCCGGCCTCCTGGTCGGTGATTTGCCCACCGTCTTATCCCTTCTATCGCCGGAAAAGGATCGATTTTTCCGCATTTTTGCCGGCGACGAGCTGACCCTTTGGCGGATTTCGTCGTCGTCTTCTTTCCTGTCAGCTGTTGTAGTGGTCGACATCATGCTCTCGCTCAAGCTGCAAGCCTCCGAAACCTCAGAGATCTCTTCTTCCTTTTTGATGGGCGAGGGCACCTTGTTGATCTTGCTGCTCACTTCTGGAAACTTGTGGAATTCAGGTTTCTGAGGCGACTTTTGAGGCTCCAAGTTGGCAATTTGGGGCCTCCATTTGTGGGTTTCGGGGAGAACTTCCTTGACAGTCTCCTCTTCAGGGGGTGCTCTGTTTTCTGAAACTTTGGCAGAGGAAGAAGAATTAGATCTCGGTGGCGCCTGGTTCTTGAGGACGACAGAATTCTGGTGTTTTGGTGGTGATGAAGCTGAGGATAGATCTCTGTGCGTACTCACACAGCAACCCATGTGGATTCTTCCGGAGTTGAAGCTCTTGAGAAATGGAAAGAGTGGGAGGAGGAAGCAGGCGTAGGGATTCTATGAAGGAAGGGACATTTTGCAGGTGGAGGGAAAGAGAAGGTTAGATAATTTGGCGCTAGACTGTGAGGAGTGGAGTTATAGAGGGGAAGAAGGACACAGAGAAGAGAAGTGAAAGGAAGACGCGGGTAGTTGAAAGAGAGTGAATTTGTTGGCGTCAACGAGAGGCATTTATTTTAGATCTCCGAGTTGAGCAGTCACGCAAGTATTTGGAGACGCATTCATTTTTGCCTGTAAATTGATCAAAAGGGTACCAGTACAAAAGAGAGGCGCAGCGGTAAATTATTGTGATGCAAATTATATTAATAGTATTATTTCCATGGATTTTCTCTCGTCTTAAATATAAAGTAGAATTAACTAATTTAACAGTTCTTAAGGAGTGATACATAATAATGTTGTTAAATTTGTTTTAAAAGAAGAAGAAGAAGAAGGTGTCACTCTTTAGTTTTACCCAAATTAATGATCACAATAATAGTTATCCAGAATCACTTTTTTTTTAAAACACTATGGGGTTTTTGGATATAACTAAACCATGGTTTGGAGAATAGCTTCTGGAGAATAAATTTTAGGGAGAATAGATTTTTTGAAGAATAGATTTTGTGAAAAAGTGATTCTAAGAAGTGAAAGTGTTTGGATAGTTGTTACCAGAAGCACTTTTTACATGTACAAATTACTAAAAAAAGTATAAGTTAATATGATAATTACAGAAAAAATATATTTTATGATATATTTTAATTTGAAGGAATAAAATTGTTAATAATATATTTTTTATTAACATAATTAATAATACATAAGATAATATAATTAATAAATAATTAATATGTATATATATTTATAAGATATAAGATTAAATATATTTATAAAAAATATGTTTATAAAAAAACAACAAGATACATATCCTATAGGCTCTCACACTTTCTCTTTTTTTTCCAAAAGCAAAAAAATTTTACTTTTCCCAAAACCATGGTTTTGGTTTTTTTAAGGGTGTTTGGGTGATTTTTTCCCAAACCATGATGTGGGTTATTACCCAAACACCCCCTATAAAAAAGATTATAAACATTAGCTACCGCGCCTTTCTCTTTATTTTTAAGGCTAAGAGGTGTTTGAGATATGCAAAAATAATTATTTTCTGTTTTATAAGACAGAATTTTTCTCAATTCTCACATAGCAAAAATACTTCTCTTAAATGTGGACATGGAATTGAAGGCGAGGATTAGGGAGAGGCCCATCATTGAGAGGGTGGAAGTAATCACAAAGGGCGGCGGCTGTTAATGACACAAGACCGATCCGTCACATGTAAACAGGAAATGGCAAATTTTATCTTCCTTACAATAAATTATTAAGCAAAAAAATGAAAGAAGATAATGACATCATTAATCATCAACAAAGAGATGCAATAAACCCTCTATGATTACCCGAATCATTTCTTAAAGGAGGATAGCCAACAATCCAATATTATTAAGATGAATGAGAGAGACCCAAGTTATCTTCTCTTTCTTTGGTGGGAATTTCACATCTTACACACTAAACACATATCAAATTAGATCTTTTATATAGATGTATCTTAACTAGCTAGTAAAACTTAATATCTCTGCCATAACTTTGAATTGTTTGTACTCATCCTTTTAATTTAAAAAAAGAAAAAGAAGAAAGGAAATAGATTACATCCCCACACATTTTTTTCTGTTGAATTGCACCATTCGACCACAGAATTACGCCCGTGAAGTATAATTTGCGTGTTGTGTAGGTAAGTAAAATACAGAAGTAAGGGGTCAGCATATCTAAGAAATAAAATATCAACCCATGTCATATTACATAGAAGTAAAATGAAATTAAAACACAACTATATAACAATTATACATAAGTATTTGAATAGAAACCAAATCAGAATTTTAAAAATGATTTTATGATATACAAAATAAATATGCAAAAAAACTTTATTATGGTTTATATGAAAATACTTTTTAGAAGTGCTTTTTATCATCCCAAACACCTCTGTATATATATTAAATCCAATCAAAGAGACAAGTTTACAAAATTCTGTCTTTGAATAAAGACACAAATTATCCAAATAAAATGAAGTGTAGACAATGAAGAAAACTCAGGCTGCAGCCATCAAGCTCCAAATCCAAATCCCTTAACACTGTCCTTACCTCTTTGTTACTCAGAAGTCAGAATGCTACTCCTCTCACTTTCTGGGCCATTGCTTGCAGAGAATGAGCTTCACCACAAAATTAGCTAGATGGGTTGCTAGTTAAGCCAAGCTGCGACTTTGATCTAAAAACACCAAAATCCAAGATATCACTGTCGAAAATTTATTTCTGACCTCATTTGTCTGGTGTTGCTATATATTTACAACCAAACTTCATGCTATGAATTAATAGCTATACATATCAATCCATGACTAAGAAATTTGCAGTGTTTTGAAACAATTTAGCCAGATAATGTTAAGTCTTTTTAAAAAATAAATTATTCACCAGTTTTTTTGTCATACATATAATGTTGAACTAATCGCCTACTCAGAAGAATATTGTTTTTTTAACCAACTGCTCAATCATGCGAGGTTCTGAGATACCTTAAAAACCTTATCTTTTTGTGTGCTGAAAGGTAACATGGAAGCTGGAACAATTATGTACACACACACACACACACACACATATTTGTTGGCACAATATATGCATACATATACATATATATATATATATATTGGTTTCTAGTGTATGTTTGCCATTTGACAGCCATGTGATACCCTGCAAGTAGGGATATGTGGTTTTTCTTTATTACCAATCATGCATAATAAAAAATATATATAAATATACTGGTGTAGTGCATGGTCAAGTGTCTATACTATATTATATAATGTTGGTGGTGGACGAAATGGAAGATGACGAGGAAGAAGGATCTGCTAGGTTTGATGCCATGAAGGAAGCATTCTGTTTAAAAACAATCTTTTAGAACTTGGAACCATACGTGCAGAGAGAGAGAAATAAACAAACAGAGAAAATATTCTTGCACAGTAGAGTAGTGAAAATCAAGAACTCTGAAATTTACGGGCGAGTACTTATTCAGGGGCTTGCTGCGGCATTATTATTCCCAGTGAGTTTTAAAAAAAAAAAATGGTGAGGAAGAAAAAGATGCGCTTTGCTCGTACCTTCGATGACAGAATAAATCATTTCTAACGTCTTCTTCTGAGCAAGCATTCTTTTTTTTTCCCCGCTCTCCATGTTCTCAGCCTTAGGCTCCATGCACGGCCATGTCGTTTTATTAATTTCACCCCATAGTTTCTTACCACATATTTATCTTCTATCTTATTTATAAACTATAAATAGGATCTTATAATTAGAATAGAAAGTACTTCTCTGATTCTTAATATAAGACCTAATTGCAGAGTTGATTTTGGTTCTAAATATAAAATCTATTTATTATATTTATCAATTTTACCCAAATCATCCCTATTGATACTCCATCAACCATAATCAAGTATGAGGGGGAGGAAGGATATAATGAAGATGATTAAGGTATTTTAGGAAAAACATATCATATTTATTATAGTTAACTAACCCACATAACTTTCTTAATCTAATCAAATTAGTTAAACAGGTCTTATATTAAGGATCGGATGAGCAGTAGTTTCTTACCATTCAAAATATTACTGTATTTGGATCTGATTTTGACCCTCACCCGCATTGCACATAAAGTAGTTGTAATCTAAATAATATTATGCCTCTCCCATTAATATAATATAAAAGGTATCTAGGGGTTAGATTTAGTTTGATTTTAAATAGAAGACCTCAGTTTATTTTATAATATTTTTTCAAAACATCGTTGTTAGCTGTGTATGTTAGGAAGATTTTCATCAAGATGTAAATGCAAGTGATTGGAGATGATAGTTTAGAAAAACTAACAGATACATATGTTATAAGTAATTGATTTAATTAACGTTATTAATATTTATAAATTTATTATCCAGCTCTCATATGGGCAATACGAGTTAGTACAAGCCATTTGTCAGATCAGGGTGAAGAACAACAGTACTAACCAATTTGGATGCAACCATTTAATTGCTTCGTGATGAGTTTGCATCAAGAAATCAAATTACCAAAGAAACAAAAAGACCACATTACTATGAAGTGTCATAGGTTGCATTATTAGCCATTAATCTGTGAGGGGGCATGTCCCTCATAAATGGGGGGTGGGTCACACTTCTGCATGGCACTTGTCATTATTTAATGTTCAATTAGTCATTTTTACTTTCATGGTATCTGAATTGAACACGGCCACCTGCTGGCAAAAACAAAAAATTGAACACTGCCGTCTCTAAAGGCATAATTACCATGCTCATGTCGTATGACTCTGACCGATAATTAAACCCAAGCTGAAGAATTAATAATGATAAGATTCTACTGTCTTCGCTTGAACCCCTCAGTAAATAATTATTCATTTAAGACTTACTGAAAAAAGTACAGCCCCGGCATTAAGTTACCTCGAATTTAGCAAACAATAAGACTAATGCACGGCACATCATTTATACCACTCCACTCCTATCATTTGTAGAAGCTTTGGTCATAAATATATTATTTGTAGTATTTTAATGCTTATTTTTTAATTTTATCTTTATTTAATTGTTACTTCTTCCGTTTCTTATTATAAGAGACGAATAACTGAATTACATTAATAAAAAAATAGTTAAAATTAGTTAAAAACAATCAATGTGTAAAAAATATAATTTTTTTTTCAAAAATGCTCTCATTAATAAGGAGAGAGAGCATGAGAGAGAACAATTAAATTATTGAAAGAAAGAGAAGTGGGAGGGAGAGAGAGTGTGAGTTGGAGACAATAAATATGGGTAAAATAGAAAATCAACACAAAAAAATAGAGACAACTTTTAAGTGTCTCTTATATATAGGAACATACCATAAGCATCAATGTCT